ACAGCCCAGACGCCTGTGTTGACAATCAACACAGGACTCTGTGCAGAGGGAACCATCTCTGTATAATAATAATCTCTCTGTCTCTCATCCCTGCAAAGCATTGATGAGAAACAAGCAGATCTGTTTGTAAAAGCAGCACATAATACACACATTACACATTGTTAGGCACACATTTAACCCCATGATCTCCCAAGATGTTAACCCCTTCCCAGCCAGTGTCATCAGTACAGTGACAGTGTATAGCATTATCACTGATCAATGTATTAATGTCACTGGTGATGTCATTGCCAGTTAGACACTTCCCCCCAGCATCACTTAGTGTCAGATTGCCTGCCGCACTATTGCAGTTCCATTATAAGTCACTGATAACCGCTATTAGTAGTTTAAAAAAAATAATTCCAATATATATATATACTATAGTTTGTAGATGCTATACCTTTAATGCAAACCAATCAATATACACTTATTGGGATTTTGTTTTACCAAAGACATGTAGCAGAATACATTTTAGCCAAAATGTATGAAGAAATTTGATCTTTTACTTTATATTGGAAATGCTTTATAGCAGAAAGTAAAAAATATTTTACTTTTCAAAATGTTTGGTCTTTTTTCGTTTATATCACAAAAAATTAAAAACCCAGTGAGTGATCAAATACCACTGAAAGAAAGCTCTATTTCTGTGAAAAAAATATACATTTTGTTTGGGTGTAGAGTTGCATGACAGTGCAATTATCAGTTAAATTAGCACAGTGCTCAATAGGGAAAAAAAATGGCCTGGTCATGAAGGGTGTAAAATCTTCCGGCGCTCAAGTGGATATTGTGAACTTTTTGTAGAGTTATTTACTTCATTGTCATCACAAAGGACAAGGGGGCACTCTTTTTTGTCTGAAGGAAAAGAGATTTAATCTGCACATACAGCAAGGCTTCTTCACAGCTGTGAAGATGTGGAATATACTCCCTCAGGAACTAGCTCTGGCCAGCTCAGTAGATTATTTTAAAAGCTAAGTTCATATTTAAAAAAATATTAAAAAATAAATGCACATGGTTTTGGAGGAAAAACAAAATGTGCATTTATTATTGTTTTCCTCAGGAGCCTGTGGGGTATTGAACCCATGATCACTTGAAATGCCAGATTCCTGCAGACACGTACTCCAGCATTCTGCCCAAACCTCTGTACAGGCTTACTGGTAGAATGTTGGGGGAAGTGTCAGTGAACTAGGAAGGCGCTCACCAGTGTCCTTGTAGTTCATTGAGAACTGCAAGCCATATGCTGCGGTGGCAGACGCAGCACATGGCTTGTAGTTCTCAATGGACTATGAGGGTACTGATGAGCGCCGTCCTAGTTCATTGACACTTCTTCCAGCTTTCTAACCTAGATCTCTGTGAATGAATGTCGGGGCTGTGTGGCCGGAGTTCAGCACAGTGTGCTGATTTTAAAATGTGACAGTGGTTGGGGGATAGAAGAACCCCCTCCCGCTGTCACGGGGGGGGTGAGAGGACAAGGGGGATGCTGCATAGTGACATGTTGCATAGTACACCCTAAGGCTAGTTTCACACCTATGCAGGTTGCATTTGAACCGTTTATGCATTGCAGTTTGGGTTGCGTTTTTGACGCATTTTTGATGCATTTTGCTTTTTGTTTTTAATTTTTATTTTATTTTTCTTGTTGCTAGGCAATTTTAAAATGCAAGACGCATCAAAAACGCAGCACACACGCAGCAAAAAATGCAATACATGCTTTTCTGCAGCATTTCCATTGAAGTCTATAGAAACAAAAACGCTAAAAAAAAGTTCCTGACCCTTTCCAAAAGACGTACTGGGTGAAAACGCACAGATGTAAACATGTCCCATAGAAAATCATGTTAAATGGACTGTACTGCGTTTCTGAAAAATGCAAAATGCAGAAAACGCTTAGGTGTGAACCTAGGGTAAGGCTGCTTTCAGACTGATGCAGTGCAGTTTAACCACACCGCAGGAGCAGCTCAGTGTACCTGCAGTTTGTCCAATAGAGCTCTTTGAAGTTCTTCATGAAAGCACACCAAAACCCCTGCATATGGGATCTTTGGTGCGCTTTCACAAAGTGATTTGAAACCGCAGAACCTAATAGAATTTTGTGAGAAAACACAAAGGGGTCAAACAGCATTGAATCAGTCTGAAAGCAGCATAAATATAGGTGTAACATGTAACATGTTACTAAAGGTGAACTTATTCTTTAAACAAGAGCTGGACGCATTATAAAATGCACAAAATATAACTGGATATCAACATTTATAGGTAATAATACCATGGATTGTTAATCCAGAGAATATCCTGTTGTCTTGGGGGGCACCAGGAAGGATTTATTCCCCAACCAGAGAAAATTGTACCATGCTTTATACTTTTCTTTGCCTCCCTCTGGATCAGTTGTGAATAAAAGGTTCTGTGTATGGAGGTATTCTATTTATTTTATTTTCCGTTGGTTGAATTAGATGAACCATGTGCCTTTTTTCAACCTGACTCACTATTTAATATGTATAGTATGTAACTGTTATACATTTGTATCATATAGTGTGAAGAAAAATGGATAATGAAAAGCTGTTTGCAGCTTTTGACAAACATTTTTTCCTGTAGAGCAATCATTCCGTAGTGTCCTTGTTTTCACTTTTGCACCAACATTCACCCTTTCCCTGGCAAACATTTTTGGGTTTATTTACAAGGCACTGGGCCTATTTACATGACGATGCATGCATTAACATGTTGTATGAAGCATGTCCAGGCTTTATAAATATGTTGGGCTGTGCTGCATTTTTTAAAGAATCATATTGACGTGAATGGTAAAATGCAGGTTAATGCCAAATACAGCACACAGGAACATTTTTCCAAACATACAACATAGATTCTATTGAAAACAATGGCTTTTCTCTTGTTCATGCATTTTGTTTTCCCTTGAAAATTAAGCACAGTGCTTGACACAACACATGCATTGTGAATAAGCCTTTTATGTTTCAGTGTAGATCCTTTTGTCATTGTGCAGTGTTCACAGGCAAAGCTTCTAGAAGGATGTACAACACATTCAAACTTGCCGCTCATTTTTTTTTTTTTTCATTTATTGTAGTCTATTACAATTGTTTGTAATATTATTGTAATATTATGTTAAATGTGCTTGTGTGTGAAATGGACATTCTATTTTAATAGCCTTTAAATGTTTGTGTAATCAGATAGTGGAAGTGAAAATGCACAAACTTTACAGTGTGATGAAATTGGCAGGCAGAAAATAATGCTTCTCTCGGCAGATCAATACTGGATTAAGCCAATGTTTTATCTTCAAACATATTGTAGTATTTTGTATATGGTTAAAGATGAATTCCAGGTATGGAATTTTTACATAGTTATACTGGTCAAGCTTGGACCAACGTAACAATGCATATACCATACCTGTTGGGTCCTTGTGAAAGCTGGAAATCACTGTAGTAGGCACCGCTACTCCAGTGATCTCCAGTACAGGTGGTTGCCTGCTTGGCACAGCACCATGCAGAGAATGCTTTGCATTTTTCTCGATAAATGCAAAGCTTTCTCTGATTGGACAAGGTGGAAACTGTGACATCATCAGCTCACCTCTCTCCCCTCACTGAGAAGATGCAAAGCAATCTGTGAAGGGTGCTGTCAAGGTGTAAGCCAGAAGAGGAATGCGCAAAGGCCTGGCACATTTGTCAATATCCAACATGGCCATGCTTACTTGTGCAGGAATGCATGCAAATGTAACAGAACAGAGCCAGCTTGTGTTTGTGCGTATTGGCGCATTCCACATAGATAGTTTTTGGCGCCTTTTGGCCTTTATAAGGCCCTGTATCCAGGTGCACCTATGTGCTCAGTACTCTTGGATTCCTCTTACCAACGCGGCTTGCTTCTGGACCTACCGTTCGCTTCTCTCCTGACTCTGACCTTGGCTTGCTCCACAGACTTGCTCTTGTCGGCTCCCTGTGTATGACCCTGACCTGCTTCAAACGCTCCTGTTTATGCCCATGCCTGTATATAATGACTGACCTTGGCTCCTGTTCCTGACTACCTCTCCTGTCCAGCCCTGCCTACTCAGATACGGCTGCATGTTCCAGTGTGCCACTTGAACCTGCTGCCATCTCTACCTGGCTCTGTTATCTGAGGGGCTTCGCTACCACATTGCCATCCTCAGAGGTGTTGTGCACTAAACTACAAGTGAAACCCTCTCATTACTTCGGCCTCAAGACCAGGTATGTGACAGGTGCTCATGATGAGAAGGCTACAACCTGTGGTCACAGTGCAGCAGGGCAGCTGCTTGACACGGAACCTGGAAACTAGTGGAGATCACTAGGGTAGATGTGCCTAATACAGTGATTTGAAGCCTCCACAAGGATCCATAGTTAGATTGGTTCAAGCCGGGCCAATGTAATCATGTACAAATATCCATACCTGGAATTCATCTTTAAAGGTTAGACACAGGTACTCATCTAATTTTAACCTATGCCCTTTTTATTGTTATTACTTATTTTATGTAAGCATGTTTGAGGGTTCCACTGTATTTCCAGTATCTGCATACAGCACTCTGTGTTCTAGAAAACAGTACATTGTAAAGAATGGAATAGTGTGCATGCCTATTATTGTCACTGTTCCACAGGCCAGAAAAAGATGAGCTGGATCGTCAAACTGCCTTCAGTCTAGGACCTAGGCCTTCACACACCCATGTCTTGTGAGGAACTGGGCTGACAAGGTGGACAGAACATAATGAACTATTATATGTATTTGATTATTCCTCCATCTGTCATGGCCAGGCCCCAATCCCTCTGTATCCTCTGTTTCCCATATGTAATATCCATCTGCATTGTTAATTTAGTGGTTGTAGTGCTGATTACCAGAGGGAATGTGTTATTTTCTGTAACTAGCTAAAAAAATACAGTAATCCATAGTGACCAGTTATGTGTCTTCATTGTCAGCACTGTTTTGATCAAATATAACAGAACATTGTATAATAAATTCTCCCTTTTCTTTTGAAGGTTGATATTAAAAACTCAACTGACAGGAGGAGAAAAAGAAATGGCTATATATCTGAAAGGACCCCATCTGAGCCACCAACCCTTGTAAGACAGATGTTGTGCATTGCTGTTGTATGCTTATAATCTGGTTTGTAATTACACATCATGTTGACCTAGGTACACCTGAATGATTAGACCCTTTGTACAGGCTGGTGAGTGTTGTAATTTTTTTAGCAAAAGCTTCTGCTAGTATGTGCTGATGGTGGCAGAAGGCAGGCAATCTGCTTAAAGCCTAGTACACACGTTCAGAAAATCAAACAAAAAAATACCGCTTTCGAAGTGATCATACGATAATCTGATTGTTAGTACACAGCTTTCATCTGAAATTATTCAAAGGGACAAGCACAAAAATGTTTCTCGTACGATACCCAGATCAGTATGGTTTCTGTCTGAAAATACAATACAATAAAATACATTACATCACTTTGAAATTTTTATTCTTTTGTACAAACATTTTTGTAACTTTCATACGAAAAAAATTTGGATGACCAAGACCATGTATGCTTGGAAACGAAAGAATACATTACAATACATCACGTCCAAAGTTATGTTCTGTTGTGCAAGGATTTTCATAACTTTAGTAACCTCTTCACTTTCGATATGAGACTAGCATTAAAAATAAAAATGGACGGTCATTCGTCCGATATTCTCATCATGTGTATATGGCTTTACACTTTACAAACCAACAAAGAAGCCAAGTAAAGGTGGGTTTAGACCAAAACATTGACATAGATTTTCTAAAGGGATTGAGAATGTTCATTTGTGTGAAAATTGTGTGAAATTTCACTTCACTTATTCAATCATGTGGAAATCAAATTCCTGTTCATTTATTCCATTTGCACATGGCTGTACAAATTATTCCACCTATCCAACACACTAACCCCCTCTCTGCAATCCCTCCAATAGCTTTCCCTTCTCTATACTAACTTCAACATCTACAACTCTGCCCTAAGCTATACCACCAGTCTCATGTCAAAATATCACCCAAAACATCCTCTTCACTCCACTGAATATATTCTCTCTAGCACACTCTTCACCTCCTCCCATGTTTGTCTCCAGGACTTCTACAGAGCCTCACTCATCTTCTGGAACTTCCTGCCTCAAACCATCTGGCTATCTTTACGTGATCCTTGAAAACTCATCTCTTTAGGAGAGCTTATTCTACCTCTATCTAACAAATTGAATATTACTTTCTCCATCCACTCTTTCCCCACAGTTATTACATTTTGTATCACTGGCCTCTCATGAGCAGGATCCTGTAAACCCTCTTGGATTTTATTATAACTGTAGTCTCTCTTTTATTGTTTGTTAGTGTAGTAGAGCGATATACAGCTGGCCATACACTGGTAAATTTTCGTATGAAGGGCCATACGAAAATTCTCAGAACATTCCATAACTTGATTAATGTCGTTTAAAAGTGCTTTCAAAATTTTGTTTGCCTTTAACAATCGATTTTGAAGTAAATAGACTTTCCCAGTTGGAAATGTATTAGTTCAAGAAAATGTTTCTATTATGTTCCTTTTCTCTTCACTGCGGTCGAAAGTAAACAAGATTTGACCCCAGTAACAGTTAAAAAAATCAAACTAATGTTCCTAAAATTAAACATTTCAAAAAAAATTCTTCTAATGTATGGCCAGCTTATGGACTAAATGAGGGGTCTCCAAACTGCGGCCCCAAAACTGGATGTGGCCCATTGCTTGCCTTTATCTGGCCCTTGGGGCACTATTCCTTCCACTGATATGAGCCACTATTCTTTTGACTGACACCAAAGACAGGGCACTATTCCTCCCACTGACACCAGCAATGGGGTACTATTCCTGCCTCTGACACCAGAGACAGGGCTACTAACTCTCTCACTGACACCAGTTATGGATCACTATTCCTCCCTTTGACACACAATGATGGGGCACTGTTCCTCCCACTGACACCAATGATGAAGCAGTATTCCTTACACTGACACCAAAGATGGGGCACTATTCCTCCCACTGACATCAACAATGGGGTACTATTCTTGCCACTGACACCAGAGATTGGGCTACTAATTCTTCCACTGACACCAAGTACGGGGCACTATTCCTTCCACTGACACCAATTGTAGGATGCTATTCCTCCCACTAACACCAATTATGTATTTTTTTTGCACCCACTGAATACCAAGTCTATGGCATTGTTTATTCCTACCAATACCAGGGCATTTTTTACCCCCCCTAAAGTTTGGGGCACTAAACTGGCCCAAGTTTGGAGACCCCTGAACCTAATGGACTTTGTATGAAGTGAAAGGTTTGCTTTAAGTACTGAAACCCTGGACTGCCTTGGGCACTGTATACAAGGTTTATTTACACATAACACCTACAGATCTCTGTCTTAGATACATCTATTGATAATCTTCCACTTTGCAGTGAATGAAGCCAAAACCCAGTGTTGACAGAAAACATAAGCAACATAAAGATGAAATAACTAGATTTTGATATTTTTCGGTAAAAGGAATATAAAGCATATAAATTACGCAGTATCAGGAGAAAATCATACAAGAATTAAAAAAGATGGTCAGGAAGAAAATAATGGTAAAGAAATATGAATACATAAAATATATTGAATTTATTTTTTTTTCCTTACTTTTCAGCACCTTTATACTGTGCCTAGAAACACCCCATCTTCAGGAACGCCTTCTCATGGAGTAGTTTATGGAGTTGTGCAAAGGACTGAAAACAACCATCAGAATGAGGTGGTTGTCTACGAATGGTCATCCCATCAGCTGAAAGAAGAGATGAACTACATTAAAGATGTAAGTTAACATTTTTGCCAGCATTTTGCGCTTGGGATGGTTTAATACAGTGAGTTGATTTACTAAAATTGGAGAATGCAAAATCTGCTGCTGTTCTGCATAGGAATCTATCAGCTTACAGGTTTTATTGCCAAAGCTTAAGTGAACAAGCATAGGTTAGAAGCTGATTGGCTACAATGCACGGTTGCACCAGATTCTGAGTATACCCATTTTAGTAAATCTACCCCAGTGTTTTCAAAAGTTTGGTTACTACTATAAGTTACAAGCTTATAATGTTCAGGTACATTTGCTATCCTTCTGCATTTCACAGGTTGTTAGAATATCTATGACATGTACCAGCTGTCTATACTGCATAGCTGTCTGTTGTACATCCAGATGATACCTATTGAAGCTCTGCAATCCAGGATTGTCATGGGTTTTGGTGGAAATCCCTTTCTGAGTCCTGTTTGAGTTCTAAATTGTATACCATGGAATAGACCAATAGAGGCTGATATACAAAAGGCTTAGTGAAGGTGGTGAAACTTCACTTTGTAAAGAATAGCCAATCACGTGCCAGGAAAATTTAAAAAAAAGCATTCTTATAATGATTATTGGATGATGGAAGTCAGCAGAGCATCACCTCTCACTTATCTGTGGGGAAAGTTCCTTACAGAGTGTAAATACAAAGTGAACAGTTTTTTGCCTTTAGTAAGTCAACCCCACAGTTTAATAACAGCCTCCTATCTTGACCTTCCCACACCAGTATAATTATAAATGATTTTTATCCTTAAGGTGATTAAACGCTGAGACACTGCTCACCTAATCTTAATTAAACAGGCTTAGGCTACTAATGTTCAGCCAGAAGCAGCAATTCAGTGTCTGTGCCTAAAGAATGATCCATCCCTTTGGCTGTAGTCCTGTGGTCAGTGCCGATAGGATCCTCAAGCCATGGTTTAATTAGGATAAGTAACTATATAATCTGCTACACAAACAGGAAGATCAGGATGGAGGTGTGGGACTGCTAATAGGTTATATGTCTTTATTGGTTGTTGAGACAACCACTGGTTAGTAGGAGGACAGATGTGTGCAATCTGTGGATATAATTTGAGGCCTATATTAGCAGAGCTCTGGGTAATCCAGTACATCCAGGGTCACAACAGAGGATTTTAAAATAGGATATTGGTATTTAAGATGCTTTAAAAAACCGCCCAAACGAATTATTGGTGTCAGTTTTCCACCTTGGAGGACATTTACAAAAAATGCTCTGTACAAAGGGCGAGGGGCATCATTAATGATGCCTCTCACGGACTGTTTATACTCCCTCCATAGGGCAAACAATACAGGTGTCTCAGAGCCCGTACAAATAGACTGAAAAATAGTTTTTTCCCTGTGGCTGTTAAAGCATGGAACAGCTATTCATTAGACAATATTGCATTACTGTATATTTTATTCACCATTGCATTACTGCTTATATCATTCATTATGCACAACTCATTGCGCCGATTATGGTATTACTGTATATCCATACCCCTATTTTAGTTATACTGTTATTTAATGTAAATGGGCCATTTATGCACTTCTAGTTGGATGTTAATTGCATTTCATTGGCTCTGTACATGTACTTTGCACAATGACAATAAAGTTGAATCTAATCTAATCTATTGCCATGCATTTACAATGTGTTTGCCATGCAATCACATTGACTTCTATGAACAAATAAAATGCATACACAAATTCATCTGAGACTGACTCTAAGCGGGAGATTTACTAAAGCTCGTTTGCTCAGAATCTGATGCAGCTGTGCATGGTAGCCAATCAGCTTCTAACCTTAGCTTGTCCAGTTAAGCTTTGGCAATAAAAACTGAAAGCTGATTGGTTTTTATGCAGAAGTGAACCTGATTTTGCACTCTCCAGCTTTAGTAAATTAACCCCTATGTGTTTTCAGAAGTCCATGTACACTAATCTTTATAGGAAAGCAAGTGCCTATTGTTAGGGGCTGTTGTCAGTTTGGACACTTTTGCTTTAAAAGACACTGATGTGCAAAGCTGCAGCAGCTTTTGGTATCCTCTAAGGTGTATTCACTTTGGAAGAATAACAATCACCTTTAACGTTAGGTAACCTATGGGTGTTGATGTTGCTGCATTATGTAAAACTATAAGAAAAGTCATTTACATTTTAGAACAGGGTGCCTTGAGATTGTTCATAATTTTAAAGGGTGCCTCGAGATTGTCCATAATTTTAAAGGGTACCTTGACTGTAGAAAGGTTGAAAAACACTGCTCTAGTTTGCTTAGTGGTTCCTATTGGGCAAAGATTCAGTGCATTCTTAGGAAGGCAGTCCAACTTAGTGATGGGCCAATAGGAATGTGTAGGGGCAGAGATTAGCAGCAAGCTAGATTGTGGGAGCTTTATATAGTCAGAACAGCCTGATGTTTGGGCAGACCAAAGAAAATTCGGATAGCACCTCTGAACATCTGGTCGTCAGGAGCTTTCAGTAGCATTTACAGTGACAGATTCTCTTTATGTACTGTAACAAGGTTAGCTCGGCAGCGGGTGTGTGTGACCCCCTGGATGGGTGCACAACACAAAAAGATAGGCACAGCACAACAATAGTGGAGGTGAAAACAAACAGGTGCAAATTTTATTTACAATATTTACAGAAAAAATGATAAACCAAAAAGAAACATCAAAATAAATCCTGGCCAACTTGGCTACTTACTGCAACAACAGCTTTTCCCTAGCTACCCATCTAGAGGTACAGCCTGCTGCTATACCTAGTTGCTAGTACTGGGAGGTTAGCCACACAGGCTTTGGTCTCTCTGCACACAGATAACAGGTCAGCTCCCCAGACAGTTCAGGCACAGATCTGGTTCCAGGGTGGAGCCACTCCCTAAGCACTCTGGGAAGCTTTATACAGGTGTTAATGAGCCCACTACCTTCAGCTGGGTCTCATTATCTCAGTGCTGAAGGACTCAGCACTTCCCACTAGTCGTACAAATCCCCATAAACCCTGAACCTCGGACAAATATATCGTCCATCCAGGACGCAACCAGGTGATTTCACCTGCCTACTGTCACATACCCCCCCCTCTTGTTTCAACCTTGGGGTTGTAACACCAGTAGCCAGGCAGGCGTTTGTACCCGGGATAAAGCATCCACATTTCCCATCTGAACACCAGGGCGATGCTTCACCGTGAAGGTAAATTCCTGTAGGGCCAGAAACCACCTATTTACCCTTCTATTGGTCTCCTTATTTTGAGCCATCCATTTCAAGGGAGCGTGATCTGTGATCAGGTCAAAATGTCTGCCCAGCAGATAGTACCGATGGGAATCTAGGGCCCACTTTACCGCTAAACACTCCTTCTCAATCGTGGCGTAATTTTCCTCGTGAGACTTTAGCTTTTCGGCTGAGATAGATTACTGGGTGCTCCTCCCCCCCCTGCCAAACCTGGGACAGCACTGGCTCCTAAGCCAACATTGGATGCATCCGTCTGGACCACAAAGTCTTTGAGAAGTCTGGTGAGTATAGGACTGGCTGGCTACATAAGGCCCTTTTTAAAGACAGGAAGGCTGCTTCAGCATCAGGGGACCACTTAACCATGACAGACTCCTTCCCTTTTGTCAGGTTGGTTAGGGGTACTGCCATAGAAGCAAAATGGGGAATGAATCGCCGATAGTAGCCAGCAATTCCTAGAAAAGCCCGTACCTGCTTTTTGTTATTTGGGCGTGGCCAATTCTGTATTGCTTCCACTTTGTTTATCTGAGGTTTTTATTACCCCCTCTCCCAATAGTGTACCCCAGGTACTTGGCCTCCTCCTGTCCAATCGTACACTTCTTTGGGTTGGCCGTAAACCCAGCTTTCCGTATTGAGTCTAGCACACAGCCTGAACTTTTGGCAAATGTGAGGCCCAGTCTGCGCTATGGATAATCACATCGTCCAAGTACGCTGCAGCATACTTCTGATGGGGACGAAGAATCTGATCCATTTTTTGCTGAAAGGTGGCCGGTGCATTCTGTAACCCGAACGGCATTCTTTTATACTGGAAATGACCCTTCTGGGGTTACAAATGCAGTCTTCTCCTTTGCCGACTTAGCTAGGGGAATTTGCCAATAACCTTTCGTCAAGTCTAGTGTTGTCATGTACCGGGCTGCTCCCAGTCGGTCGATTAGTTCATCTATCCTTGGCATGGGGTAGGTGTCAAATTTTGTAACTTTATTCAACTGTCGAAAGTCGTTACAAAATCGCCAGCTCCCATCTGGTTTGGGCACCAACACTATGGGGCTGGACCAGTCACTTTGGGACTCCTCTATCACCCCAAATCTAGCATTCTCTGTACTTCCCCACGTATTGCCTCCCGTCGAGCCTCTGGGATTCTATAGGGTTTCAGTTTTACTCTTTCACCCGGTGGGGTGATAATGTCATGCTCCACCCCCGAGGTTTGTCCCGGCAGCTCAGAAAAAGCCTCTGTGTTGCGGAGCACAAACTCTTTAGCCTCCTGTTTTTGAATTGTAGACAGCGTGACTGCTATTCCAACCTCCGGAACCAAGCAGTTAGATGGCGCTGGTGACAAACCCTCAGCAACTAGGGATTCCCTGTCCCTCCAGGCCTTTAGCAGATTAATGTGGTAGATCTGCTCCGGTTTCCGCCTTCCTGGTTGTCTGACCCTGTAATTCACCTCACTCACTTTCTCAATCACCTCGTATGGGCCATGCCATTTGGCCAGGAATTTGCTTTCAACCGTAGGGATTAGCACTAGCACTCTATCTCCTTCAGCAAACGACCTGGTCTGGGCCCCCCGATTGTACACCCTCTGCTGCGCTAACTGGGCTTGGGACAAATGTTCCTTTACGATAGGCATGACCTGGGCAATTCTATCTTGCATTTGGGCGACGTGCTCAATCACACTCCGGTGGGGGAGAACTCTCACTTTCCCAAGTTTCCTTGGCGATATCTAACAGCCCCCTTGGGTGTCTCCCATAGAGCAACTCAAATGGTGAAAACCCTGTGGGAGGACTGGGGGTA